AAAAACGGTTTGTCAAATTTTGATTACCATGACTGCTAGCTATATACTGTATTACAAATATGCAGTCTAGTTCTTGTTGGTTGATCTATTTGTCCTGCAAAGCTTTTAATCTCTACTTTTAAAACATCTATATTAAAAAAAAATAGTGACCCAAGGTAGTGAGGGACAGTTAGAAGTGACCCCCCAAAAGAGATGGAGGCCGGGGAGGAAGCAGGAGCTTATAGCCTAGGGAATATAGCCTAGAACTCTCCATTGTAGCCACATATGGAATCAGCCTTACATGTGGGACCTTATGTGCTTTAAGAGCTCTGGGACTTTTTGACTAAATAGACAAGTGGAAGACGGTATCTCAACCCAGTCATACTCAATATTTCCCTTTTAAATAGAGTCCTTACCCCATTGTCAAAGTAATTTTGATGCCAGAAGTCGAAGCCAGAACTGGGACCCCACAGCTCTTAAGTATTGGTCCCTCTCCTGCCTATGCCTATAGCCAGCCACACTGGCTTCCAAGTTCTACGATTGTTTTGCTACCATCATGTTAGGGTGAAAATCTGTACATCAGAACTGTTAAATGCTAATTGTTTTTAAGTGCATGAGACCTGGGGCCTTCTCTTTCTACTTGCACTCTGCTTATAATAGTTTCTATTTGTAGATCTCAGGCTTACATAAAGACCTCCATCCACTCACAAAAGTACTTGTCACTATTAGAATGGCATGTGGTCATTTAAGTAAAAAAAAATTATGTGGGTATCCTATTCATAGACCTCCTGTCTAACCGAGGCAAGTGTTAATTTTATTGACAAGTCATCTGAAGCCCCTTTCCTCTTAGCCATACCAATTTTCTCCTGCCAAATCACTACACAATATCTTAATAAAAGCAGTTAACATTAAATGACAAAAACAGTGGCATTTTGGTGAGGAACACTCACTGGGGTGCTGACATAAGTTTGGGTAAGATTATAAAACACCAAAGGCTGAAATCTGTGGGTACCAGGAACTGTGCATATAGGCTTAGAAATTGTATACACTAGGATGTGCAGTGCAATATTTTCAGAAAGTTTTTTTTAACGAACACTGGATTTTTTTGAATAAGATATTTCTAATTGGAGCTTACTGTTTTTCAATAGTCCATTAAAACATCATAAAGAATATTTATTTAGTTTATTGTCATGTATTGGGCTAAATTCAAGGGGCCTCAGATTCCATATGTCTTCAGTGGATTGATGAATTTCAGGTTAATTTGTGCCTGCCTCAGCCATCTCTACTTTACCTTGAGGTATTCCATGATCCTCTCGTTGCAGGTGCTGCTAAAAACTCAAAATTGTGTATCAGATATTTTGTTTCAACTGTAAAAAAAAAAAATCCTCTGTGTTAAAGTGAATAAAAAGTGCATTTTGAATAACCAGTATACAGTGTTTGTGCTTCTTCTCTCCCTTTCTCTCTTTGAGCAACTGGTGGGAGTGACAGACGGTACTTACCAAACAAATCACTCTTCGAGACTGCACTGCATGTGGCCTCTGGATCATGTTTTCACCGTGGTACCCCAAGCAGCCACAACCTAATGATCAGAGAGATGGGTTCTACTGATTGGGAAACAAACTCAAAAGATTAAGGTGGGGCGGTTCCTTTTATTTTATGTGACTTTTTAATGCATGAAGAACACTGAGACTGGAAATTGGATCTTGACTCTCCACTTCTTCATTATAATTTATTTTTTTCTTTGTTAATATGTTTTATTAAAAATGTCTTTTTTATTATGTCAATCACCATACATTACATCATTAGTTTTTGATGTAGTGTTCCATGATTCATTGTTTGCCTATAACACCCAGTGCTCCATTCAGTACATGCCCTCTTTAATACCCATCAGCAGGCTAACCCATCCCCCACCTCCCTCCCCTCTAGAACCCTCAGTTTGTTTCTCAGAGTCCATAGTCTCTCATGGTTCATCTCCCCCTCTGATTTCCCCCCCTTATTTGTCCCTTCCTACTATCTTCTTTTTTTTTAACATATAATGTATTATTTGTTTACTTCTTCATTATAATTTAAAACAAATGTTAAACCATCACAAAATATAAACAGAGTATACATATTCCTTTTATCTTCCTGGCTGATATGCTGTCCAAATCTTAGGAAAACATGAAAATATGGGTGAAACAGATCAGAAAACAAAGGATGATTTTGTTAAATAACTCTGTTCTCTTACTTATCACATACTGGACTTTAAAGATACTTGCATTAGCATCAAATGGCTTGAATATCCATAGTGGTGACTTTTAAATGATGGGCACAGGTCTTTCTGCAGCATGTAACTTCATTACATTGATTTCATCTGTCACAGATTAAAACTTCTCCCATTCCTATACTTCTGTCTATCGGGACTCTAGGCAATTGAAACCACGGTGGTGGTGGGGGGACAGATTTTTTTTTTTTTTTTTGCCACATGTACTGTTTCCATCTTTGAGGATAATTATTTAACAAATTATCAGACCATGCTTCAAATACAGCCCCTGAAATCCTTTTGATTAGGCTATAATGATGCAGCTTTTAGACTATAGAGGATCAGAGATTTATAAGCCTCTTAAAAATGATTTGCTCATCCCAAACTGGTATTTTGAAAGCAGAAAACTAACTTTCTGTCGTTGCTGTTTTTCTGCTTGATTCATAATCCACTGGGAAATCTCCTTCTCTGGATGTCTTAAATAGTATAGCTCCTCATTTTTTGGAAATAGTTTAGCTATGATCCTTCCAGGAAGTGGAAGGTGTGGAATAGACGGGTTTCTCTTCAATTCTATAATTGAATTTTAAAACACACTGGAAAATCAAGGCAGCTATTTGAGTAAGGTCAGGATGGAAGTTGCGGTGGGCATCTCTACTTTCATTTAATTACCTGCAGTAGTTCTAATTGCAACAAATTTTTTTTTTTTTTTTTTTTTTTTTTTTTGCCTCAGTGATCCTGGTAAGTAAGCATTTCACTTTTTTTCTCTCCTTGCTATGGAGATATAGGATTCATTACAGTGGAGTACTTTTCTTACACTTAATTTAAGGGCAGGTACACTGTGATATACCTTTTGATAAAATGTTAGTATATATTTTCCAAACTGATCTTTTTGGGGCATCTGGGTGGCTCGGTCTGTTAAGCGTCTACCTTTGGCTCAGGTCATGATCTCGGGGTCCTGGGATTGAGACCCCCCCCCCACTGCAGTTGGCCTCCCTGCTCAGCAAGGAGTCTGCTCTCCCTCCCCCTCCACTCCTCCCCACCCACCCCGCTCATGTGCTCTCTCTTGCAAATAAATAAAATCTTACAAAAAAAAAAAACAACTGGTCTTTTTTTCCTCCTGCTTTTTCTGAAGTATAACTGACCAATAAAAATTACATATATCTATTTATCCAAAGGATACAAACATAGTGATTCGAAGAGGCACCTGAACCCCAATGTTTATAGCAACAATGTCCACAATAGCCAAAATATGGAAAGAGCCCAGATGTCCATCGACAGATGAGTGGATAAGGAAGAGGTGGTATATATATATACAATGGAATATTACTCAGCCATCAAAAAGAATGAAATCTTGCCATTTGCAACAATGTGGATGGAACTAGAAAGTATTATACTAAGCAAAATAAATCAGCCAGAGAAAGACAGATATCATATGATTTCACTCATATGTGAAATTTAAGAAACAAAACAGATGATCATAGGGGAAGGGAAGGAAAAATAAAATAAGATGGAATCAGAGAAGTAGACAAACCCTAAGAGACTCTTAACTCTAGGAAACAAACTGAGGGTTGCTGGAGGGGAGGTGGGGGGATGGGGTAACTGGGTGATGGAGATTAAGGAGGGCACTTGATGTAATGAGCACTAGGTGTCATATGGAACTGATGAATCACTAAACTCTACCTCTGAAACTAATAATACACTATATGTTAATTAAATTTATTTTAAATTTTAAAAAATTGTATATATTTAAGGTGTTCAACTTGACAATTTGATGTGTATATGCACTGTGAAATCATCACCACAATCAAGCTAATTAACATATCCTTCACCTCAGGGGTTTTTTGTTTTGTTTTGTTTTGCTGTCTTTTAAATTATTTCAGGTTACCATCACCAATGAAGCCCTTATTCTTTACTCCTTTCTCTTTAAGAGAAGGAAGGGATAATGATAGAAGCTAGGTATATTTCAAGAATGAAAGAAATTTTTAAATGTCCCTTCATTGATATGTTTCCAAAAATGTTGAGCAAGGATCTGACTTTTATTTTGCTGATGGAGGTGGTGATGTTTGTGTGAGGTTTTTTTGAGGGGGTGAAGGGTTACTAAAGTGCTTTCCCAGTGAGAATAAGCGTCTTCACAACTCAAAATGTGAAGGAATTGTCATCTTTAGTCATATAGGAACTGCTGCAGTGATCTATGTGTCTTTATAAATCACTTTGATCTTCTCCAAAGCAATATAGAAAATTTTGATTCAGCCATATTTAAGTGCTTTTTTAAATGGTGGGTTTTGTGAGTGCAAGTATATGTATTTTTGAGTAACCTGTCAATTCCTTTCATGCTTTATGAATTATGGATAAATGCGCAATGAGTCTCACTCTAGCCTCCCTGAATTTTAGCCAGACAAGCCAAGCTGTGCTTCTACTTAATTGATTGATCAAATGGATTGAGAAATGCTGTCTGAATGAAAGAAATAGCTCTTAATTCAACATTAGCTGTATTGATTAGAGTAAAAATACAAATCATGCCTTCCTGTGGTACATTCGTGAGGAAGCAAGAGATGGGCTTATCTCTTCTCTTTTATTGTTCTTGGCTGCCTTAAAATCAACATATCCAAGGGTGGGTTCTGTAATATATTGTTCAATATAGAGTCTTCTTATAGATGAACAAGGGTTGGTATAAACTTTGAATCATCTCTTTTTCCATTTATTCCCAATGAGAAAACAGTGTCACCAGTAAGAACTTTTAAAAACTTGTCTTTAGTTGTTTTTTTTTTTTTCTGATTACAGAAGTTAAATACATCCATGGTAAAAAAAATAATAAAACAAGAAAACTAAGGAACAAAAGAAACAGAAAAGCAAGATAAAGAAAGTAAGTTATCTGTAATCCTATTACCCTGAGGTAACCAGATTTTAATTTTAATATATTTATATAATGAAAGTATATTTATATAATAAAATAAAATTTATTTATTTTATATTATATAAAATATAAATATGTGTTATGTATTTATATTATATATTAATATATTTATATAATAAAAACACACTAATTGTAATCTTTCATTTAACATATACTGGACTTTCATCTAAGTCATTACATATTCTTCTAGGAACTGTATTTAATGTTTGCCTAATATTCTATTGAAGGATTTACCATAGTAAATGTAATCAAACACTTAATGCTGGACATTTAGATTGTTTTCCAACTGTCTCCTTTTATAAAACGGCAGTTAATGTCCCTTACATTAATCTTAATTCACATCTCTCTTTATTTTCTATAAGTAAAATTTCTGGGTCAAAGATTATGACTATTTGTATGGCTTTTAATGTATATTGACAAATTGCCATCTAGAAAGTTGTCCCAAATTACATAAACACCAGTAGCATAAGAGGCCTATTTTTCTAAACACTCCATCACTCATTGAATATTATCTTCCTTTCAAACCACATTTGCCTAATTTGATGGATGAAAAATGATCTCATGTTTTGATTTGCATATTTTTCATCCTTTGAGAGTAAATAGTTGTTCATGCATTTATTGACCATTTTTATTTTTTTCTTGAGTGAGTAACCTATTCTGGTCCTTAGCCCATTTGGGGTAGGAAACATTCATTTTTCTTTCTTAATTGATTTCTAGAAACTCTTTTTTTTATATATTATGGGTGTTAACGTTTGATCTTATCCATACTGCAGATTTTCTGCAATCCTCTCCCATATGTCTTCCCTTTTAATTTCGCTTATGGTATTTAAAAACACTGACAGATTATTGAAAAGGTCATGTTCTAATAAAATAGAAAACTAGGATGGGTAGGGGAGAGAAAAATGTCTACCTGATCTGTCCTTTGTTCCTGACCACATGGAACTATGTACTTATTTTTATTTAGAAAGGTTATGAGTCTAAGCTTGTGTCACCATGATAGGAAAAATGATGGAAAGCAGAATATTCATTCATCCAGCTTTTTTATCTGCATGATGCCAAATGGCTGGTTTGATTTGGATTTAGTGTTGTTATTTTAATGAGGTGATTATTTCAAAATCTTGTACAAATACAGCGATAGTTACAGTTCATCTTTCACCCACAAGAGGGCAATGAAGACCAGTTAGTATTCTGCCGTAGGCAGTAAGTAGAAGACAGACTGAAAGAGCTGAAGGGGCGCCTAGAAATCATCCATGTAGTCTCCCTCTCCCTTATTTTATAGACTAGAAAACTGAATTCTGGAGAGGTAAAATGATTTGTTCCAGGGCACAGAGCTGGCTAGTCAAAAAGCTGAGTCCTAAGCATTTTCCAGTTTACCATACTGTGATTTACTATATTGTTAGTTAGTTAAATTGACACAATCTATAAACACATACAGAGGATCCTGACTTAAAATGGTTTGACTTAGGATTTTTTGACTTTACACCAGTGCAAAAGAGACACATTCAGCAAAAAACATGGTTTGAATTTTGAATTTTGATCTTTTCCCAAGCTAGCAATAGGTGATAGATACTCTCATGAGCTGGGCAGTGACAACAACCCAGGACTTCCAGTCAGCCACGAGATCATGATGGTGAATGACCCATATGCTGACAACCATTCGGTACCCTAAAAACATTCTGGTTTTCATGTTCAGTACTGTTTTCAATAAATTACATGAGATAATCAACACTTTATTTTACAATATGCTTTGTGTTAGATGATATTGCCCAATTGTAGGCTGCTGTTCAGTGTTCTGAGAGCATTTAAGGTAGACTAGGCTACGCTATGATGTTCCACAGGTTAGGTGTTGTAAATGCATTTCCTTCTTATGATATTTTCAACTTATGATGGGTTTATCAGGACATAACCCCATTGTCAGTGGAGGAAGATCTGTACATTTTTTTCTGATTTTTAAGTGTTTTTTTTTTTTTTTTTTTTTGCCTTTTGAGGTAAGAGTCCCATGGCAACATTAAGCATTTTAAAGTGTATAATTTAGTGGCAGTTAGTATATTCACAATATTGTAAACACGTACATTTTAATCTCCAGGATTCAAATCCCAGTCCTACCACTAAATAGGTGTGTTACCTTAGGCTAGTTACATAACCTTGCTGGGCTTCAGTTTCTTCAGCTGTGTAGGAAGAAAAAGTCTTCCATAACAGGTTTTTGTGAGGATCACCAGAAATAATCTGTGCTTGGCACAGAGTAGATAAAAAAATTCTTTCTTTTCTTCAAGATATTAATCCATTGCTCCCCATCTGGTATTAGCATATTTATTTCACATTATGAATAAAAATAGATTTCCAGAGTACATTTTTTTTCTCTTTTCATGACTTACTGCATTATTTACATTGAATTTTAAATGTGCCCAGAGTTTAATAATTAAAAAAATTTTTTTTAAGATTTTATTTATTTATTTGAGAGAGAGAGAATGAGAGAGAGCATGAGAGGGAGGAGGGTCAGAGGGAGAAGCAGACTCCCTGCCGAGCAGGGAGCCCGATGCGGGACTCGATCCTGGGACTCCAGGATCATGACCTGAGCCGAAGGCAGTCGCTTAACCAACTGAGCCACCCAGATGCCCAATAATTAAAAATTATTAAAAAGAACTTCACAGCACAGGTTCTTGTGGCATAGTTGGTAAAGGATTACAGTATTTAATAGATGCAAAGGCCCCCTTTAAAACAAACAAGAGTCTTCCAGGGGTTTTGAAAGATGGAAGATGATTCCAGTGAGGCGCAGAGAGCATGATGATCGGTGTGCTACTTTAGGTCAAATTTTGGAACTGACTCTAACATAAGGTAATCCAATCCCCTCTTTTTTTAAAGATTTTATTTATTTATTTGACAGAGAGAGAGAGAGAGAGCACAAGCAGGGGGAGTGACAGGCAGAGGGAGAGGGAGAAGCAGACTCCCCGACTGAGCAGGGAACCTGACGCTGGGCTTGGTCCCAGGACCCTGGGATCATGACCTGAGCAGAAGGCAGACGCTTAATGACTGAGCCACCCAGGTGCCCCCAAATCCCCTCTTTTTATAGATAATAAAACTGAGGACCGGAGAAGTTAGACAAATTCCTGAAGTGACAGGTCAGGCCTTAGAAAACTCATCTCCTATTTCTCAGTCCAGTGCTGTTTTCAGGACACCTCACTGTCTGGGACCAGGATTTTTTTTTTTTTTTCATTTCTTCCCCAGCTTTATTGAGGTATAACTGACCTATAACACTGTGTAAGTTTAAGGTATACAATGTGATGACTTGATACATGCATATATTGCAAAAAGCTTAGTACAATAAAATTAGTTAACAATCCTTCGCCTCACATAATTACCATTTTGTTGTTGCTGCTGTTGCTATGGTGAGAACATGAAAGCCCTACCCTCTCAGCAACTTTTAAGTATAAAATACAGTATTGTTGGGGCGCCTGGGTGGCTCAGTCTGTTAAACGTCCAACTCTTGGTTTCGGCTCAGGTCATGATCTCAGGGTTGTGAGACCGAGCCCCACATCAGGCTCTGCACTCAGTGGGGAGTCTGCTTGAGATTCTCCCTCTCCTTCTGCCACTCCCCCCACTCTTGTGAGCTCACTCTCCCTCTCTCTCTAAAATAAATAAATAAAATCTTTAAAATGCACTATTGTTAACTATAGTCCCCATCCTGTACAATAGATCCCCAGCACTTATTTGTCTTATGTTGTTTGAGAGATGCAGAAGAGATAGGGATGGGGGAGCACAGGGAATGAAACCAGAGGGGTAAGGAAAGGAAAGGTTCTAAGCAAAGCAGGGTTTAGGCTTCAGACAGTGGATGGGGAAGAAGTAAGGAGCAGCAAGCAGCTCTTGCCTGGGAGAAATTTCTTTAGAATCAGTCATTCCCTTATTATTCCTCCCAAGGAAAGAACTACTGAGAAGGTATGCCTCCCCAATAGGCTTTGTCTTACTGAATAAAGAAAATCTACTGAAAATCATTGAAATCAGAGCAGTTAGTCATTGTTAGCATCCTGAGTCTTTAAAAAAGTGTGATTAAAAATTACTCAAATGACTAAAATCTAAATGTCCCTAGTAAAAAGAACAAGGAAGGAAAGAGATACCTGAAGAAAGGTTTTTAAAATTCTGTTCTTCAATCCTGTATTCTCCTTGTTCCTTTTATGTGGAGATCCAAAAAGAAAAATGGTCATTGGCAATCAGTTGTGAAAATTGCTGTTAAATTATATAGGAGTTGTTAGCTTTTGTTATTAGCTAAAATCTCAGCCAAGTGAGTTTCCTGATCTGTAGTGTTATTCTTTATATTGTTATGGCTCTGTCCCAGTGAAATTTTTTTTATAACATACTAAATTGAGCTGGAGAATCATTGTTTCTCTGCATGATGCACTTTTTACTGTTTTTCTTCTAGAACACTTCTTTAGTTACAGTAGTAAAAGCTGATTTATCTAAAATTCTGGCAGATATTTCTTAACTGGCATTTGCACATTTCAATATTATAATGAGAAGTAATGTTTATAATGATAACCCATAGACATTGCAAGAGGCTAAATTACTTACTGGATCATAAAAGAAAAAAATAAGGGATACTACTTTTTAATCTATTCCATAGTATAGAAAACAGGTATTCCAGGTATGATGTATATAGGTATAGTGTGCATGATAACATAAACCCCAATACTCTACTTCCCTGGAATGGAGAGTTCATTTTCTTTCCTTCTCCCCTTTACCTTTATTTTCCCCCACAGAATCTTACTTCAAGAATGGTAGGTAATTTCTTCCAAATTCCACCCCATGTTTGAGTACTTTCACCAAATACCTGCCAAGTGATCACTGAATCAATGCTGGAATACTGCAGGTGACAGGAAATTTATTATTTAACAATGCAGATGACTACATCTTTGCAAAGATGGCACACCCTTCCTTATATGGAATCAAATTCTGAC